ACTAAATAATCCAGAGCAGCTCGAATGAAAACAACTAAATAATCCAGGGCAGTTTAAATGAAAACAGATAAATTTCAATTCAGTTTCAATTTTGTCCAAGTCACAACAGAAGTGATCTCTGAGCACTGAACAGAAGCATTCATATATAAAAGAAGTAAGTTAACATTATTAAGTGATTATTAAGTTAATATTAAGTTAACAAAAATAATCCAATGTAGCTTGAATGAAAACATCAAAATAATCCAGAGCAGAGTTTTTGTTTTCATCCAACAGGAGAAAGAATTCAGAATATTCTGCTGCCAGCCGAGGTTTTCACTCATTTATCATTCTGAGTTATTTAGATTACTTTGAGAGGTTTAGTTGCTTTTTCTAATCCAGTAATCCAACAAAAGTCTCCTTGATCTGTCTGAACACTGTCAGGATCATGTTCATGTGCAGAGCCCGGTTCTGATGGGTGTGTCTGTGTTCTGACAGGACATGGAGGTGAGCCCACAGGAGCTCATGGGCATCCTGAACCGAATTGTTTCCAAGCGTGAGTCGGCTCCTCCGTTGTTTTCTGCTTCTTGCATTAAGCTGCTGTGATCCGAGCTAAAGTTTCGGCTGTTTTTGACCCACAGACGGAGGCCTGAAGACCGACGGCTTCAGCATCGAGTCCTGCAGGAGCATGGTCGCCGTCATGGACGTATCCTTCCACTCGAGCTTCGGCTGAAGATTTCAAATCTGCAGGAAATTATTTTCTGTCAAAACGCAGTGAGAGCGCTGAGCACTGATTAAAAAGCAGCTGAAACTGAAGTGATGAGAAGCAGAATGCTAGCTAAAGGAAGTAAAATGACACGTAAAATAAATTATAAAAAATCAACGGAGCAAAAGGCTAGCTGAAAGTTAAAAGTAACAAAAGGTTAGCTAGAAGCTAAAAGTTAGCTGAACAGTATTTATAGGGCGAAATAGTAGCAACATACTAGCCAAAAATAGCAAAAGAATAGCTAAAAGTAGCAAAAAAGCTAGTATAAGCTAAAAAAAGCAGATAAGTAGTTGAGAGCTGAAAGTAGCAAAGGGCTAGCTAAAAGTCAAAGATTATAGACCAGTAGCTAAAAGTGGTAGAACAGTAGCTAAAAGCTAAAGATTATAGACCAGTAACTAGAAGTGGCAGAGCAGTAGCTAAAAGTATCCCAACAGTAGCTAAAAGTATCCGAACACTAGCTAAAATGATCAGAACAGTAGCTAAAATTATCAGAACATTAGTTAAAATGATCATAACAGTGGCTAAAAGTGTCAGAATAGTAGCTAAAAGTATCATAAGAGTAGCTGAAAGTGTCAGAACTGTAGCTATGTTTGACTTTGACCCGACTCCCTGCAGAGCGACAGCACAGGACGACTGGGCTTTCATGAGTTCAAATATCTGTGGAACAACATCAAGAAATGGCAGGTGGGTTTCCTGTTGTTGTTTATGTTTACATGTTTGTTTATGTTGGCTTTTGTCATTTATGTTTACGTGTTGTGTTCAGTTTTCTGTATTTGTTTGTGTTTACGTGTTGTGTTCAGGGTTCAGCTCTGTGTTTGTTTTTGTTTGTGTGTTGTGTTCAGGGTTCAGTTTTCTGTATTTGTTTATGTTTACATGTTGTGTTCAGGGTTCAGTTTTCTGTATTTGTTTTTGTTTACGTGTTGTGTTCAGGGTTCAGCTCTGTGTTTGT